ACAGCATTGTTTGGTCAGGCACACTGGAGTCCTCAAACTGACATCTTTGGTCTTGAGCACTTTAACGAGGTCATGTGTAGCAGATTTGCTTACTATAATACAGCATTTGATTTCTTGGTAAGCTTAAAGAATGTCTTTCAATCTTTCCTCCATTTATCATGATGTTATTTATTGGTCCAGTGGTGAGGATTTTTGTTTTCTTTACATTGAGGTACAACTCATATCAAAGGCTGTGTGTGGTCTTTGATCTTCCAACTTGTATTGTAGTAAGGCTGTATAGGGTTTCTGAGGAGCAGCTGATAGGTTTAATCGCCAACCTTGTGATTGGCAGTCTACTGCTCATTGTATACTGCCTTGCCAGGTCTCCATTTGAATCAGGATGGATCATCTTAAAACAAGTTCAAGGTTTGGGATTCCCTTGATGACTCATAACATTTGAGAAGGGTCACTTTGAGTGGGCCTGTCTTTGTATAGTAATCTCTGCTTTTAAATGGCACCACATTTTTGTCTTTTTTCCCCCTGTGAGAGATTGATTTGAATGACTTTTGCTGAAATTGCATATTCTAGTACGGTTTATTTAATCAGATACCTGTTGCTGGATACTTAGTTTTTTTCTTATTATTACAAATAACACTGCAATGTAGACACATTTTTTTCTTTTTTTGGTATACTTGTCTTGCTATTTAAGATTATGTCTAGAAGTAAAATCGCTAGTGTAAAAAAATGACACCAACCATCCATCCTACAGCATTCTTTACTCAGCTGAGTTCTAGAATTCACTGCAGTGACCACACAGAACTCAGACACAGTTAGGAGATTTATTAAGGAAGTTAGCAGGTGACAATTAATGATTCAAAAGGTCACAGTTCTTCCAGTCAAGACCATCTCTCCCCAGCCATGCCCACAGGCAAGCCTCTCTCTGGCCCTTGTTCCCTTTGTCTGGCCTCTGTCCTGCTCGGGAATTGTAACAAAGGTCTTACAGGGTTGCTGATAAATACCCAAAGGACACTCATTCTGCTGTAAGCCTCAGCTCAAAGGCACTCAGCTCTAGCTCTGTGGGTCAGCAAACCTGGCTCTTCAATTACATGCCTTGAAGTACCCTACTTCTCAAATGAGCCTTCTTGGTTTCTTTGCTGTCACTCCTCTGATGTCATAGCTTTGTTTTCCGGATCAAGGAGATTGAACGTTCAAGGATCTCAGATCCGAAAGACAAGCTCTACTCCTGATTCTTGTTCCTTCATAATAGTAAGAATCCCATTCTTTGTTGCTCAGATAGCTCATTTTGTAGCCAGGAGGATGGCTGCAAAGTGAATCTATTGTCTATCAGCATCTTTTTCCTTCCTCTCTTACCCAGACTGTGGTACTGTGAATTTACTTGATATGGCTGTTCTATCCAAAGTCTTGTTCTTGTTGTTGTTAAGTACTGTGGAGTCAGTTCCAACTCATAGTGACCCTGCACAGGATTTCCAAGGCTACAAATCTTTACAGGAGCAGAAATCCTCATCATTTTCCTGCTGAACAGCTGGTAGTTTCGAACTGCAGAACTTGAGGTTAGCAGCTTGATCCGTAACCATAGTCTTTTTAACTCCTACCATATGATTGGGTGGGAACATGCATATAGGTTGTACAGGACTCTTAGGCTAGATTTGGTTAGTTTTACCATCCTGCTGGGTTTAAAAGGAGCCATTTCAGAAGCAGAAACAGATGGTCCCAGGCTCATCTAGGAATAAGAGTCATGAGTAGAGTGTGAGATCCCTACCTGGAAAAACGGCTATGGCAGAGGCATGGAGACAGAGCAACTGTGGGCCGCCTAACCCATGGACCTAGTAAAGCTTAGCACCTATGGGCAGGACAACATGAAAGGAACTTTGTAACACTTGCCTAAGCAGGGCAGAGGCTGAGGGCCCACATGGCTAAGGGGCTGAAGACAAGAGCAAGACATGTCAGCAGTATATCAGAGCAGAGGTGTTCCTGACTGGAGGACTACTGTATGCTGGGTTGTTGTGTTCTTAAGTGTCATTGAGTTGGTTCCAGCTCAGTAACCCTGTATAGGGTTTCCAAGAAGTGGCTGGTGAATTTAAACCATGGACTTTTGGGTCAAACTGACCTTGTGGTTCAGTGCTTTATCCCACAGTGCTCCACTGGGAGTAGTAGTCCATAATTGGGAAATTTATCTATGAGTTGTATGTGGCCATTGTGACGGATTTTCAAAGCCAGATGTGAAGCAGAGAGTGCTGTGGGAGGGATAGTTGGTGTCAGAAGAGGACACACAAAGTTGAAGAGTGGAAGCATGTCTGACCTCTGCCTCCTAGAAGTTGACCTGGGGCTGATTTTGAGTTTGATTCTCCTTCTCCCTTGTGAAGCCAGAGGAAGTCAGATGTGGCTTTCATGTGGTTTTTGCACAGACCCTTTAGGAAAAAGTCGATTGATGGGAGTTTCCAAAGACTATGGTTAGGAGAGATATTAGATAATTCACTGTACTGCAGTTAGAATTTGCATCATTTTTTTAAGGCTTTTTGATATGTATTGTCAATGTGCTGTGTACAGTGATCGTCCCACCACAATGTATTCTAAATCTTTAACAATTTTGCCATTTTAATAGCTAGTAAGTTATGGATTGATTGATGTTTTCCCAAACTATGTATTGCAAAACCTAACCTTTATGGCTGTGAATGGGTTGTCTTTGTTTTGTTAATGAGGCAGGATTAGTGTAAGGTGTATTTTGAGTCAATCACTTTCCAATAGCAAGAAATTAAACAAGGCAGCACAGTAGAGATGGGGTAAGATAGATATCAAGAGTCATGGAAGTTCCCAAGGAACCAGGAAGCAGATGTTGACGGAACAAGATCTTCTCCAGAGCTGGCAGAGAAAGAAAGCTTCCCCCTAGTGTCTGCACTTGGAATTTGGACTCCCTGCCTCTTAAAATTGGAGAAAATAAATTTCTGTTTGTTAAAAACACTTGTGTTATTTCCTGGTCTGGTGCTGTTGGTTAAGTATTAGACTGCAAGTTCAGTTTGAACTGCAGGGTCGGTGGTTCAAACTCACCCGCCGCTCCTTGGAAACCCTGCATAGGGTCTCTATGAGTTGGAACCAGCTCTATGGCACTTAACAGCAGCAGCAGCACAGCAAGCACGAGTTAACTAAGACAGTTGACATGTGCATCTGAGTTTAGAGACAAAGAACCATCTGAGCTGGAATGTGACATCAGCATTTATGTTGGGAGCACAAAACAATTAAGACATATTCTCATCCTTTAGGAGCTTGCAGTGTAGTTTAGAATTGACAAAATGTAATCACAAAACAATGTAAGCTAGGTCTAAAAGTATATATGAGATTTAAATGCATATAAAAAATAGAGGTATTGCAAGTGCTAAGAATGGCATGGAGGGAAGACAGTAGATTTTTGTTCACCTGATATGTCCTGGTGTGGCACTGTAGGATAAAGCACTGAACTGGAAACCACATGGTCAGCGGTTCACACCCACAAGCCCCTCCTTGGAAACTCTAGACAGGGTCACTGAATTGGAACTGACTCAGTGACACTAAACAACCTCACCGATAAGGAACTTTATATAAATGAGAAGACACCAGAAAGTTTGTGGAAAAATGTAATGAAAAGATAATGGAATCTTTCTATGAACTTTTGATGCCCCTTTGTGTTGCCTTTGTCCTCATGACAATGCTGCAAAGTCATTATTATAATTCATTACCTTCTTTTTTCTAATGAGGAAACTAAGTCTCAAGCAGGTCAAAGAATTTGTTTAAAATCATTTGGCTAGTAAATGGTAGAGCTGGGACACAAAGGCCCTCCCACAGGTATGAACATTAATAGGAGAGCTTTTTTTCACATGATTTATGGGAGCAGAATGCTTTTGCTCACCTCTTATTGAGTACAGATGTATGATGATAGAATCCTAAAGCTCGTATATTACTTCTTCATTAATTTTTTATTGCTGTGAACAAATTACCATAAACATAGTGATTTAAAATAACACACATTTATTATCTCATTTTTTTCCTGACTCAGGAAATTTCTGTTTGTTAAAGCCATTCACTTGTGATATTTCTGTTGTAGCATCTCTAGATAACGTAAAGACAAAAGCAGTGCTACATTATTATTTTAATTTATATTTATTATTATGACATTTATGAATACTGGTTTTGTGTTTTACCACTTTGGTGGTATTAGTACTTATGTATTACTGCCTAGGGGCTTATGAAAAATAACTTTGTCAGATGTTGTAAATATTCCCCTCAGATTTTCTTTTATATCTCATCTTCATTTAAAGATTTAAAAAATATGTATATAGAAGTTTAAAATTTTTATTTAATCCAATCTATCAGTCTTTTCTTTTGTGAGGCTATTAGCTGTCTGAGACAACAGATTTATGGTTTCTGCAAAAATTAGTGTTTTAAGTTTGGAGTTGTCGTAAATGACTAGGAAATTGAAAAATCACTAAACTACTCCTTAAACTCAAATAAGTAGTCAATTAATAGTTCTTAAATTAGGATTATAGTAATTTTTTAGTTTATCTTAACCTATGGAGCTCTGGTAGCATAATGGTTATGAGTTGGACTGCCAACCTCAAGGTCAGCAGTTCGAAACTACCAGCAGTTCTCTGGGAGAAAGATGAGGCGTTCTGCTCCTGTAAAGATTTACAGTCTCGGAAACCCTGTGCAGGGTCACTGTGGGTCGGAACAGACTCCATTGTACTTAACATCAACATGTCTTTACTATAAATTTCTTGTTTTTGCTAATGTTTTGTTAAAGGTTGAGATTCTCAGAATAGAAATTTGAAAGAGTTTGAGTTTAGATATACTTTCACATTTTCATTTCACTAATGATAATGGTTCACTAAGCATATTTTGAAAGCTTTGATGTGTCAGGTTTAAAAGGTTTTAGTTTTTTTTTTTAAAAGTTTGGATCCCTCAGTAGGAAAAAAAAACCATGTTATTGGAACTGAATGAGGACTTAAACAGTAAATTATGTTTTCTTTTAGATAAGCAACGAAAAGAAGAATCTTCAAGAAAAGGAGATTGTTGCTTCATCACCAAGTTTAACTGTGACTCAGTTGGAGCTGGAGGCAGTTTATAAGGTAAGTAAATTTGTATTTTCTGGATTTTGTTAAGTGTATCACACTGACCTTTATCTTTGTATTTTATTAACCCATGCATAGAGCCTCAGTGTCACTATAGCTACCTCCACTTCTGTGCAGTTGTTAACCTTGCCTCTTAGGGCCAACATCTGTGCTAGACTGCCCTCCTACACAGAAACCTTCCTAACCTTGCTTGGCTCTGACCCCTGCTGCAAGCCATTCTTTCAAAGGAATGCATTCCCCATATCATCTGGGCTTCTGTATTCTGCATTGGGTTGCCCCCTGTACAGATGCCCTCATCACTCCCTTGGCTCCAACACCCTGTGTAGGTTATTGCCTTGAATGAAAGTTTGTTTTTCAACTTTTGGTCTCTGACACCATACTTTGGACTGTCTCTTTATGTGAACTCCCTCTCATTCCGTTTGGGCTCTAACGCTCTATGTCAACTTATCTCCCTTGAGGATGCACTCCTTAATCCATTAAAATTCCAACATCCTGCACTATGCCATCTTAGTCTTTGGTACAACCCTAGCACAGACATCAGCTTTGCTTGAACTCACTGAGTGACTTTTGGGCTGACCTTTCCAGAAGTGGAGTAGGAGGAGAACTGAAATACATTTTAATATTTGATAGCTTCAACCCTGCAACCCCTTAATGCTATACTTTCTTTTTTTGCGGAAAAAAATGAGTGATTATTATTGGTGAGTGCCAGTAATTTAAAATTCTGTGTCCATATTAGCTATCCATTTCTGTCTCCATATTTCTACCATTGGGGTCATCATTCAGTCAGCCTTCCAAGCTTACAGTTGGAGAATCAATATTTATTCTTCCCACACCACACATTTCCTGTAACACCGCCTTCACATCTTTTGATCTGCTTGGGCAATTTTTTTTCTCCACTGTGACTGCCCTAATAAGCTAGAATGTTAGAGCCAAAGAACCCTCAAGATCATTAATCCATCTCTTCCTGTCTTCACCTAGTTTTATAGATCTAGTCACTGAATTGTAGAAGAATTCATTGGATTTACTAAAATCACAAGTGTGGTTAGAAACAGAGCTTGGACTAGAACTCACATTTCCAGACTATTTCTGTCCCGTTTTCTTGCATGGATTATTGCAGCAAACTCTCTCACCTGTTCTTCTAATATGTGCTGTGTGAATGTACTCACTTGAGGTGCAGCATCACAAACAGCACCTCCTTTAGAGCTGTGTGACTTTCCATATGTGTCTGTCTTGTCATGTTAACTAAGTGATGAACTTCTTGAGGACAAGGACTGTGTTTAATAGTAACAATCAGCAAATTAATCAAAAACTGTTGAAAAACATATGATCTGTTCATACTGTAAGGTGTCCTTGGAATATATAGAATTGTAGACATGTAGATTCAACTCTTTCCTAAAATTTGGGTGAATAGGGAAGTTAGAGATCATTTTATTTTTCTCACCTAATTTTTAAAAAGGAGGGAAATGTTTTCTGTATTAAAGAGGAGATGCTTTTCGTAACTGAATATATTCTGCTCACCTCTTGAACTCCTGTGGGGGCACTGTAGGATCAGTACAGGGTCACTATGAGTTGGAACCGACTCGATGGCCCTTAACAACAATAACAACTCATCTCTGAGAAGTTTAAGATCATTCATAGAACTATAATAGATATAGGTGTGATGTTATTGTTGTTGTGAAGTGCTGTGAAATCAGTTCTGACTCAGAGTGACCCTGTACAGGGTTTTCGAGGAGCGGCTCGTGAGTTTCAACCACCGACCTTATTTATTCTACACTACTATATCAGGGCTGCATAAGTGAGACAGTATTAGCTTTTGCAAATGCTTATTTTAATATAAAAACTGAGCACATTCTCCCATGTAATCTATTACTCAAGTCACAATAAAAACTTAAAAATAAAACAACAAAAAACCAAGAACAAAAGAACGAAAACTAAGCACATTATTATTTCCATTTCTTAGTCTTGAGGTTAATTTTCACAATAAATTTTGTAGACAAAGAATGGAGTCATAGATGAAGAAATTCGGAATTATTTACTAGCGAATTAGGCCCTGAACATTAGTATTCTATTTGATGAAGAATATACTGAGTCCACAACTCATCTGTCAGTTTGTTGTACTGTGCTGGCTAGTGTGTTACTGTGATTCTGGAAGCTATGTGACCAATATTTTAAATACCAGCAGGGTCACTCATGGTGCGTAGGTTTCAGGAGAGGAGCTTTCAGACTAAAATAGACAAGTAGGAAAGAGAGATGGATCACTTCTGAAAGGTTAGCTTATGACAGCCTATGACTAGCAGCGGGACATTGTCTGATATAGTGCCGGAAGATGAACCCCTCAGGTGGGAAGGCACTTAAAGTATGACTAACGGAGAGCTGCCTCTTCAAAGTAGAGTTGACTGTAATGATGTGGATGGAGCAAAGGTTTTGGGACCCTCACTTGCTGAGGGAATACACTCAAAAGGAGAGGAAACAGATTGAAGCATCCATTAATAATCAGAACGTGAAATGTATGAAGTCTGATTAATAACATTCTGATAAACAGAGAAAAGATTGAAGTTGTCAAAGATTGGATCCACAATCAATGCTCATGGAAGCAGCAGTAAAGAAGTCAAAGGATGTATTGCTTTAGGCAAATCAGCTGCAAAAGACCCCTTTAAAGTTTACAAAAGCAAAAATGTCACTCTGAGCACTAAGTTGCACCTAACCCAACCAACAGTATTTTCAATTGTTTCATATCCATGTGAAAACTGAGCAATGAATAAGGAAGGCCTTAGAAAAATTGATTCGTGCAAATTATGGTGTTAGTGAAGAATATTGAAAGTACCGTGACTTTCCAGAAGAACAAACATTTGTCTTGGAAGAAGTGTGGTCAGAATGTGTCATAGAAATGAGGATGGAGACACTTCATGTCTTGTACTTTGGACATATTTTCAGGAAGGACCAGTTTCTGGAGAAAGATGATATGCTTGGTAAAGTGAAGGGTTGGTGAAAAAGAAAAAGACCCTCAATGTGATGGATTGACACAGTGGCAGCAACAATGGGCTCAAATATAACAGTAGTTGTGTGAATGACACAGGGCCAGATGGTGCTTAGTTCTTTTGTGCATAGGGTTACTATGAGTCGGAAGCAACGTGACAACCCTTCACAAGGACAATAACAACATCAAGCTCACCAGCTACTCCTTGGAAACCCTGTACAAGGTTGCTATGGTTTGGAACCAACTCGACGGCACTCAACAACAATAACAATGTGAATATAGTTACTTAAAAAAAACTCAACACATTGCTGTTAGTGGATTCCAAACTCAAAGTGACTTTAAGAGTAGAACACTCCCATAGGGTTTCCAAGGCTGTAATCTTAATGGAAGCAGACAGCCACAACTTTTTCCTGAGAGCGACTGGTGGGTATGTACTGCTGACTTTTTGGAATTGCAGCTGAACACTTAGCCACTGAGCCGTAAGGAGTCAATATGTGCTTGTTGTTAAGTGCCACCAAGGCAGTTCTGACTCATAATGACCCTGTACAGAATTTCCAAGGAGTGGCTGGTATGGTGCTGCAGGATAATACACGGGAATGTAGATTTGAACCTCAAAGTGGACAGTTCAAGCTCACCAACTGCTCCTGGTTGGGTCGCTATGAGTCAGAACTAACTCGACAGTGCTTAACAACAACAACGTAATGTACTTAGTGATTCCTAAATTTGAAATATTGGGGATTATAGTATATATATTGGCTAAGGATAAGAGTAAAACAATCTAACTGGCATATCATTATGATCATTTTTACTCTGAAATGAACAGTTTAGGTCTGCCAACCTTTTTGAGTTTAAGTGTTTTAGTTTAAGGAGTATAAATTGATCTTTTTTTCTTTTGGATCTCCTGAGATTAATGCATTTCTCACATGAATGATTTTTGTTTAGATTTAATGCATGTAAAGAGGAAAATTTGTAATGACAGGTGCTGACTTACTCTCCCCATTTCATTCTGAATTCAGATTCCTTTTGCTGATGCTCTAGATTTGTTTCGAGGGAGGAAAGTCTATTTGGAAGATGGCTTTGCATATGTACCACTTAAGGACATTGTGGCAATCATCCTGAATGAATTCAGAGGCAAACTATCCAAGGCTTTGGCAGTAAGTATTTCTTTTTTAAGTATTTGACTTGTTGACTGTTTTAGTTAAATAACCTTGACATTTTATTTGTGTTTCTGTTGGAAATCAGTTAACTTTCATAATGATATTCAGACTGCTTATGGTACTCTACTGGTAATTCTGGAACCCCTACATTTTCATTTGTGTATTGCAAAGCCTAAATAATTTGTTTATAATGAGTTTTTACTTGCTTGTTTTATAAATTTGCTTTGTAAATAACTTTTCTTGCATTTATTTTGTATTTTTCTTAAATAACTTAAGGTATTCTAAACATATTTGCTATTCAACTTTTCTTTCTAGAAAACAATTGTAGAAAGAAGTTTTTGTACTTTGTTTTACAAAAATTGTTTTGCAAAATTTTAAACATTTTTTGAAAGTTTGTAACTTTCTGAGTTGAAAGATAGGCTCTTACAGATACCGAGGGAAAAGATAAAACTCTCAATGCGTTTCTAAGTTAGAAATAAGATCTGCTTCTCAACAAACTGCACTTAAGCTTTATTCCTAGTTTGTAGCTAATGAGTTTTTTTTTTCTTCCCTCTCCTATTTTTTCTTTCCCTGCTGCTTAAAAGTATATTTAAAAAATAATTTATTTTGAAATAATTACAAACTTATAGAAACCATTTGTAATTAAGTGCCACTTTGATATCTCATCACTCCCAAGTATGAGGGTAAGTCAAAAGTATTGCTATTAGGGTTCAAATTCATAGAACCACAAGTTTACTCTAAACAAAGCATTTTTAAATATGTGTCTGTGATCACTGAATGGCTGAAGACAAATTCTCTCAATAATACATACACATGTCTTAGTCCTGTTTGAGTGCCTTAGAAAAAAACGATGATACTTTTCATGGGCAAACCAATTTTGAGGTCAGGGCTAACGTCCAATTTTAAATTACTCAAAAGGACATCTTCCCAAATCACTGATGCTTTGCTACAAGTTTATGGGAAATTTGCTTTTTGTTAAATAACAGTTTGTAGATGGCTGGAACATTTTAAGGAAGGTTGGGAAGACATTAAAGGTGAGCCAAAAGAGGGAAGCTTGTTAACTTTGATGATGTTAGTGGACGAAGACCATAGAATTACCACTGACTCAGTAGGTACTGAAGTTGGGATCTCAAATGATGTGGTATTTTCCATTTTAGGTGAACATTTTGGCCTCGACAAGCTTTTGACTTGATGGGTGCCAAAAGCGTAGCATGAAGATCAGCTGGCTCAAAGAGATGACCTTTCCTTCCCTCAGTCTTTTAAGCAGTATTAAAGCTAATTAAGACAATTTTATGAAACAAATTATAACCGTAGAAGAGTCTTGCATTTATAAGTAACATTTCAGAGAGCAAGGTTCAATCAGAACTGGATTCCAAAGGGAATCTGCTGGGCTGGTTAATTCAAGTTAAAAAGGTCAGCTCTGAAGGCTGTGGTGAATGTTTTAGTGAATCTAAAGGGAATAATCTTGATAGATTTTCTCAGAGGGCACAAGATGATCAGTGGGGCTTGTTAGGAAAAAGTTGTAAGAAAATTGAAAAGTTTATAGATGAGGAAAAGGCCAGGAGAGTTGCACCAAGGAGTTTTTTTCATCATGACAGTGCACCTGCTCATTTTTGAAGGTAGTTATAGCTGTCCTATGAAAATTTTGTTGGGAAATCTTACCCCACCCACCCATAGCCCTGATCTTGCCCCTCCAGACTTCTCTTTGTTCCTAATAATCGTAAAACATTTAAAAGGGCACACTTGTTTGATAGTTTATCATATTGTTATATCTTATGAGTTGCTGTGATTCTGGAAGCTATGCTACCGGTATTTTAAATACCAGCAGGGTCACCCATGGTGGAAAGGTTTCAGATGAGCTTCCAGACGAAGACAGACTAGGAATAAGGAGAGATGAACTACTCTGAATATTTATGGTCACTGAAAACCTTATGAATAGCAGTGGAACACTGTCAGCACTAGAATGTTGAATATTGAATATGATGAATAGCCCCAGAATATTGTCAGATACAGTACCAGAAGTAAGCCCCTTAGGTTGGAAGACACTGAAAATACAACTCAAAATAGATTTGACCATGGTGATGTGAATGGAGTAAAACTTTTGGGACCTTCATTTGCTGATGCGGCACAACTCAAAATGAGGAGAAATAGCTATTGTAAGTATTCATTAATAATCAGTACCTTGAATGTTGAAGCATGAACCTAGGAAAATTAGAAATTGTCAGAATTGAAATGGGGCACATAAACATCGATATCCTAGGCAATAATGAACTGAAATGGACTGGTATTGGCTATTTTGAATCTGGTAATCACATGGTTTACTATGCTGTGAATGACAAATTGAAGAGGTATGGCATCACACTCATCAGAAAGATTACATCAAGATCTGTCTTGAAGAACAACAAGGAAGTATAATACAAGGAAGACCAGTTAATATAACTATTACTCATATTTATGCACCAACCACTAAAGGCAGTGATGATGCGATTGAGAATTCTACCAACTTCTTCAGCCTGAAATTGATCAAACCTACAAACATTTTGATAATTACTGTAATTTGCAATGGAAAGGTTGGAAACAAAAAACGAAGGATCAGTAGTTGGAAAATATGGCCTTGGTGATAGAAATGATGCTGAAGAACGCATGATAGAATTCTGCAAAACCAATGATTTGTTCATTTCACATGCCTTCTTTAGACAGCATAAGAGACGACTATACATTTGGATTTCACCAGATGGATTACATAGAAATCAAATTGACTACATCTGTGGAATGAGATGGTAGTAAAGCTCTATATCATTAACCAAAAGAAGGCCAAGGGCAGACTGTGGATTTTGCTCATCTGCAAATTCAAGATGAAGCTGAAGAAAATTAAAACAAGTCCATGAGATTCAACACATGACCATGAACATATTCTACCTGAATATAGAGATCATCTCAAGAACAGACATAATGCATTAGACACTAATGACTTATGACCAGAAGAGTTGTGGCATGACATCAAGAACATCAAACAGTAAGAAAGCAAAAGATCATTAAGATGACAAGAAAGAAGGAAAAGACCAAAATGAATCTTTTGAAAGAAGAGATTCTGAAACTTGCTCACTAGTGTAGAGATGCTAAAGCAAATTGAAGAAATGAGGTAAAAGAGCCGAATAGAAAGTTTCAAGGATCAGCTCGAGAAGACAAAATTAAGTTTTATAATGAAACTTGCATAGACCTGGAGTTAAAAGAACAAAAGGGACGCAAACACTCAGTATTTCTGAAGCAAAAAAACTGAAGAAAAAATTCTAGCCTCAACTTTTATTGAAAGATTCTCTGGACAAAATATTGAATGATGCAGAAAGCACCAAAAGAAGATGGAAGGAATACACAGAGACACTGTACCAAAAAGAAATAGTTGATGTTCAACCATTCAAGAGATTGCATCTGATCAAGAGCCAATGATACTGAAGAAAGAAGTCCAAGGTGCCCTGGAAGCATTGGCAAGAACAAGGGTCTGGGTATTGATGGAATGCAAATTGAAATCTCTTAACAAACTGACAAAGCAGTGGAGGCACTCACTCATCTATGCCAAGAAATTTGGAAGACAGCTACCTGGCTAACTGATTGGAAGAGATCCATATTTGTGCCCATTCCAAATACAGGTGACCTAATGGAACCGACTCGACGGCACTTAACAACAACAACAACAACAATGGAATGTGGAAATTATTGGACAATATCATTAATATCGCATGTAAGTAAACTTTTGCTAAAGATAATTCAAAGACATCTGCAACATTACCTTGACAGAGAACTGCCAAGGTTCAATCTGGATTCAGTTGAGGATGTGAATCACTGCTTCAGATGGATCTTTGCTGAAAGCAGAGAATATCAGAAAGATGTTTACTGTGCTTTATTGACTGTGCAGAGACTTTGAATTGTGTGGATCATTACAAGCTATGGAGAGCATTGCAAAGAATGAGTATTCTGAAACACTTTACTGTGCTCATGAGGAACCTATACATAGACCAAGATGCAGTTGTTGGAGCAGAACAAGGGAGCACTGAATGCTTTAAAATTTGGAAAGGTATGCACCAGGATTTTATTCTTTCATCATGCTTATTCAATCTGTATGCTGAACAAATAATTTGGGAAGCTGAAAGTGAAGAGAACTTGAGTTACTTACTGATGAAGATCAACGACCACAACCTTCAGTACGGGTTATATATCAATGTAAAGAAAACAGAAATCCTCACCACTGGATCAATAGACAACATCATGATAAATGGAGAAAAGACTGAAGTTGTCAAAAGACTTCATTTTGCTCTGATCAATCATCAACTCTTATGGAAGCAGCAGTAAAGAAATCAAACAATGTGTTGCATTAGGCATATCTACAGCACAAGACCCGTTTAAAGTGTTGAAGAACAAAGACATCAATTTGACGACTCAGGTGCCCCTGACCCAAGCCAGGTACTTTCAATAACTTCATTCATATACATGTGATAGTTGGACAATGAATAAAGAAGATGTACAAGAACTGATTCATTTGAGTTATGGTGTTGAAGGAGAATATTTAAAGAACAAACTCATGTGTGTTGATAGAAGTACAGTCAGAATACTCCTTAGAAGCCAGGATGACCAGACTTCGTCATCATGCTTCGGACATATTATTAGGTGGTAACAGTCCTTGAAGAAGGACATCATACTTGGTAAAGTGGATGGTCAGTGAAAGAGAAGAAGTCCCCCTTTGATTGGCAAAGTGGCAGTAACAGTGGGCTCAAGTGTAGCAATGATTGTGTTGTTGGTACAAGACCAGGCAGTGTTTTGTTTTGTTGTGCACCTAACAACAATAAAAACAACAGGGATACTCAACTGTTGTTTTGATGTGCTGTAAATAGAAAAGTGCAAAATTCTTCGGGGAAGGGTTTTTGTGGCTGTTACATGCTGTCAAGTCGGTTATAAATCATAGCAATGTTTTATATGGTTTCCAAGGAGTGGCTGGTGAGCTT